AAAACAAATTAATTATGCCAGAAAACAAAAAAAAAGGCGCCAAGTTTGAATCAGCGAATGGGATGGGGGAACATCTTCATCTTCTTCGTTCACCCTAGTTATTTACCTACGGATTTGTATCTGCAGCCAAATCCGTATGTCCATCCTATAATTAGTTCTAGGCTATGAAAACACAATCCAAGACCATGGTCATGTTCGTCTTCTTCCACTGATTACATCCATGTCCATTAATCACACTGATTTTGCCTGAAAACTAAATACCCAAAATACAAAAACCACAAACCCTAGATTCGGCTAGGGGGTTATAGGCCATATTAATGCAATCAAATAATGCAGAAAGCCTGTAAATTGAACGATAAGCATGAATATGCAAAGTTTTTGCAAGAAAAGTGCAGGAACAATGATATACGAATTCAACTGAAAAGCATATTTTTGAGACACTTACAGAGCTTTAGGGCGTGGATGGAGATTTATTCTGGGTTGGTTCTGCTTCAAGGATGGTCCAACAATTGATTAGTGTTGAGATTTGCTTCTAAATTGGCCTCTATGCACGATTTCAGTTTCACACTTTTTGGCAATTTTTTCAAGTTTGCTATTGGTGTTCTTGCAGTCTCTAACCCTTGAATTCGTGTGCATTGCCTTGTATATGTATAATGCAATGTATTAGGTTAACTTTTGTGGACTGAATCCTTGTGCATCAATGCTTGGAGATTTGATTTGATCCTCCATTGATAACCTTCCAAATTTGTCCAAAATCCAATCTTTTTGCACATGGAATGTATGATACGAATTTGATTCACTTGATGATGATGATTAGGTCCTGAAATAGCCAAAAAGAGATCAAATAATCAATGTTTGGATTTTATTTGATTTAAATTGATTAAAAATGAAATAATTCATTAAAAAATAAAATTAAATAATAAAATTGATAAATGATCATACGGTTGAAGCTAGGACACGTGTGTAGTGTGACAAGATCAAATCAAGTGGAAAAGAATGGGCCCCTTTGACAAAATTTGAAGTTTTGGGGATAGTTGACTTTTGGCAATTTTTGCAAAAATACCCAACTTCAACAATGCATAACTTCTCCAATTTTGAAATTTTGGAGGTGTTCTTTGACTTTTTATAAATCTTGAGATGTCCTCTAACCAAACCTTTTGGTCTCATCTCATGTTGATATTCCATGCTCATGTTATAAGCTTTGGCAAAAAAGGTGTTTTTGTTGACTTTCAAAAATGACCTATAATGTCCAAATTTGTAACTTTTTGTGAGTGCATTTCTTGATCTTGGGGTATGAATATGGATTGTAGGAAATTTAATCCTCTTCAAAATGATCTTTGGATGGGTCATTTCTCATAAAGTATGAGAAAGTTATGCTTGGTCAAAGTTGAGTTGACTTTTCCTGCAAAACCCTAATTTAGCAACTTTTGAGTCTTGATATATTTTGAGCAATCCTTGATGAATCATGATCAACCCTTGATAAAATGATGAAATATCCTTCAAAATTGGAATTTTGACAAAAAATCTTGAAGTTTGACTGTTTATAGGTCACAATTGACTTTTGCCCTAGCACAGTCGATTTTTGGACCCTTTGAGCAATTGACTGAGCAAACTTCCTCTGCAAGGATTGAAATTTGACATGGATGAACTTGAGACCATATTAGGACATTGGGGAGCACTTGAGATCATTTGTATGTAAGGACCTTGATGCAACACAAAACCCTAATTTGAGGTTGACTGCCTTAGGAGATGACATGACTGTCCAACTCTTGAGCAATCTTGAACCACTTGGAGATTTTTCTTGCAATGTTTTGAGAGATATGAGATGGAAAATTTTGGGGTGCAAAAGCTGCCCCTGTTCAATTTTCTTAAACTTGAGGATATAGATTGGCTTTCGGGCCTTTCGTGATCCGAAGGTGGAAGATGATTGAACACTAGAGTGCCCGGAAATTTGCACTCGCATGAAGTAGTATCATCCTGGTGATGTCGGGAATGGGGTTATAGATGCCATTTGGAGACTGTTGATAGGTGGTCTGAACTTCGACTGGAATATAAATCAGGGAGATCTTATCATCGATCTGATTGAACCAGAGAAGGTCTTGGATTAACTTTGGCTGGATAAGAATCGGAAAAATCTTCAAATCGATTTAACTGGACCAGACGAAAGTCTTGGAATAACTTCAACTGGAATATGAATCAGGGAGATCTTCACAGCGATCTGACTGAACCAGAGGAGGTCTTGGATTAACTTTGACTGGATCGGCATCAGGAAAATCTTCGAATCGATTTAACTGGACCAGACAAAAGTCTTGGAATAACTTCAACTGGAATACGAATCAGGGAGATCTTCGCAGTGATCTGACTGAACCAGAGGAGGTCTCAGATTAACTTTGACTGGATCAGCATCAGGAAAATCTTCAAATCGATTTAACTGGACCAGACAAAAGTCTTGGAATAACTTCAACTGGAATACGAATCAGGGAGATCTTCGCGACGATCTAACTGAACCAGAGGAGGTATTGGATTAACTTTGACTGGATCAGCATCAGGAAAATCTTTGAATCGATTTAACTGGACCAGACGGAAGTCTTGGAATAACTTCTACTAGAATACGAATCAGGGATATCTTCACAGCTATCTGACTGAACCAGAGGAGGTCTTGGATTAACTTTGACTAGATCGGCATCAGGAAAATCTTCGAATCAATTTAACTGGACCAGACAAAAGTCTTGGAATAACTTCAACTGGAATACGAATCAGGGAGATCTTCGCGGCGATCTAACTGAACCAGAGGAGGTCTTTGACATAACTGAGAATTTAACTGCATCTTTCCTGAAAGGTAAAGGTCAGTCATATGCAATGCATGATATGGATCAAGCAATGATGCTCTCAAAATAAATGAGATTGTGTGGTATGATGCGTATATGCATGTATCATGATGTATGGAAATGTAATGTTTTAGCTGGGAAAATAAATCCCGGATAGTTGCGGGAGAATAGAGCTGGATTCTTCGTTTCCACTGGGGATGGTGAACGAAAGTATTAAACCTGCAGGAGAGGATGACTCCGTTGGGGAATAGACTGATGAGGAGATTACTCTGTGGGGAAGAGATGCTCTATGGAGGATTCTACTGATAAATTCCGTCAGGATGAATTATCGTTGCTAGTGATATTGAATCCATTGAGGACTGAATTTCTGTTTGTGAAAGGAAAGAACTTCGCTGGGGATGATCTTTCAGTTGCGACTTGCTGGGAATAACCCTGTTAGACTTTTGTGGGAATAATCCTCTGAATTCTACTGGGAACGATCCTTTGAACTCGGCTGGGGAGATTTATTTTGTACTCCGCTGGGGATAAACTTCCAGAGTCTACTGGGGAATGATGCTTCAACTCCGTTGGGGAAGCTTTTTCAGACTGGGCTGGGCAATTTTAACTCCACTGGGGGTATCTTGTATTCTGCCGGGCAACATTCTTATGCTTAGCTAGGGAATATTAAGAGTGTCGGGGATATCAAGCCCTTTTTAGTGCTGATGATAGATAAACTCTGCTTGGGGAGAGTATTGTTGATTCGTTCATAGTTACAAGTCTCAGTTGGGGAGAGCTACCATTACTGCCTTACTCTGCGAGGAGTGAAAATACTTTAGCCATATTCTTGAGCTGAATATACCTTTGTACCTGGTGGACAGAGCGACTATACATTTCGGACAATTCTTATTTGCCCCCCTGTTTCTGCTATTACCGGTAATTTGTCTTTTGTTCCGCATGTAAATATTCATGAGCAGTAATTAATGTCAAATGCATATATAAAAAAAACAAACATTGGACGTTCTTTGCAAAACAAAACAGATAAAGAAAAATAGTTTGAAATTTCTTTGAAAATGAATTGTATTGATTTTGAAGTTTGGCCTGTAAATAGGCTTTTTTGTACAAGGGGATGACGTCCTGGTAAGAGAACACCGCCGAATAATAGAATTTACACAATTTGTGAAAAGAAAACAAAATAACTATGTGAATAATCCCACTGGGTTCCAACTCTACTATTGTCTTTATGTCTTCAAGCATCTCATCACTTTGCTACTTGGTTGAAGGTAGATCAGATTGATTAACGCCGTCCGAGCTTGATAGTTGATACCGAAGTTTGGATGCAAGGTGATCCAATGATACACAGTGTTACGCTTTTGATCCTTGATTTTTTCCTGGACCTCCCTTTCGGGTTTTCTGTCCACCGGGATACCCTTTTTTGCCCAAGCCGCCTTTTCAGGTTTTCGACTTGCCGGGTGTACAGATTTTTTCATTTTCATCCCTTATTTTTGCCCGAACCCTTTTGGTTCGCCGGGAAGCCCTTATTTTTGCCTAGGCCAGTCAACCTAGCGGATCTTTGATTATGCGTAGTATCTTTTCACGATGTCTACATTGACGGGGTGAGAAAGGTCGTCACCGTTGTAGCGGTGAAAATTGGAGATCAAGCTATTAATTAACTTGACTCACAAATGCAAGAGTCGCCACCGCGCTTTATTGTTTCCAAGGGAAAAGGGAAAAGAGCGAAATAAAACCCTAAAATATGTAATGTATAATAATACTTAAAAGTAATGAAAATACAATGCGTCTTTTTGAAAGAGATCGAGAGTCCGGGGGTTAGTTATATAATGGGAAGGTATTAGCACCCAATGCATCTGCGGTACTCCGCAGGAACCTTTTGAAATATCTGTTTTTGGTTAAAATTGTTTGTTTGATTAAAATGGTTCGTTTGGCTAAAAATAGGTGTTGGCGAGATTTTGAAGATACGACGACCTAGTGTCGAAGTTTTGACTTAAAAGGTGTGAGTTTGAAATTTGAGTCTTTTTTAGAAAAATCGACTTAAGTTTGGATAAAATAGTAAGTAAGAAAAAATGAATGGGGGTATTCGCTTGATCCTATTAGATGTTTGATGACATGAAGTCAACAAATTAGTACTTTCCCTTGGAATTAAAACCACAGACAGATAAATAAGCTAAGAGTATATCAAACCTCAGGTGAAAATAAATCACGAGCCGACAGCGTCAAAAAAACCAGATGTAAGATAATACTCCCAGCAGCGAATAAAGCGCAATGAACCACAAGCGAGAAGTGCAACGCGTGAAAATAAATCACGGAAAAAAGAAATCGTGGATGACGCTCACGGTATAAGATTCCCTACATCACATGAAAAACTCCAACAACCAGATAAACAGGGTAACAGAGAAATAATATGAACATCTCATGTGAAATAAAGAATCAAGCTATGGGACCGGAATGCGTCAAATCGAAATCCATAAAATAAACTGGTCAATGAAGTTTATACATCCGTTATATATTCGAAAATTAAATCGAGTTCAAAATGTGAAATCACAATGAAATGATATAAAATAGACAACATAACTTAAATTTATTTACAAGATAAAATTCTAACTAAATCTAAAACTCAAAAGTTTCTATTAAATAAAACAATAAGAAAATTAAATCACAAATTGAATTTATTTACAAACCAACAAATTAATTACACATTACATAATGTACTAAAGTAATCTAAAAAAACAAAAGATAAACATTATTACTTCTAAATTTAAAATCTAATGTCTTAACTTTTTATTTATTTTGGGATAAACTTTTGAATATAAAAAACAATAAAACTAAATTAAAAGAGTGAATATACAAAAATGATAACTAAATTAAAAAAGAATAAAAGAAACAAAGCCACTACATGATTGAGGAGTATGTGCAGAAACTTACGCGGAAACGGAGGGTGATAGCTGGCGGAAACGTACCAGTCAAATTGTTGACATAAAGAAGCAATTTTTCCGATTTCAAAAGCTTACCAATATCCTTAGGAATAGAACTTGTCAACTGATTGGAGTAAAGCTCCAAAACTGTGAGATTTGCAAGATTAACAATTCCATCACCAATTGTTCCATCAATTTTATTCAATGGCAATGATATTTCAATGAGTGAAACAAACATCATAAACATCAATTGGGATATTCCCTGATAGTAGATTGAAACCTACTCTAAATCTCACAAGCTTAGAAGATGCACCTAAACCAGTCTGAATAGCATCGTCAAAATCATTGGAAGAAAAATCCAAGAATCTCAAAGAAGAACTCTTATCTCCTTCAGCAAGATTCTGAATCAGAGAAACAGGCAATGTTCCATTGAATGAATTACTAGACAAATCAAACACCTGAACAACAACACTGCCATTTCTGATTCCATTCCAAAGTGGCAGTTCACCGGAGAAACGATTGTAACTCAAATCAAGAACTAAAAGATGGTTATGAATTGAAAAAAAATGGACTTTGAAGATTACCATGAAGTTTATTATGAGAGAGATTAAGATGAGAAAGAGATTGAAGAGAAGATGTGAACAGAGGCGGTTAGTAGTAACAGGCTCAGTAACACGATTTAAATCTTCAGAAGAAGAATCAATACCAGGAAGTGATACCGAAAGTGAAGTTGGAGGATCATTGGATTTGGAAGACGACGTCGTTTTCGATTCTACGAGAGGTAGAGCCGCAACGGTTCTTGTAGGGACAGGACGATAAATATGAGAAGAGTTCACTATAGGTACACTGGACTCGCTCACATCGGATCCAGAAGGACTTCCCTGAGTGGGAGGGTTCTTGTAAATCCCATTACCAACAGGTATAGCAGCACCGGCACTTACAGATCTTTTCAACGGTGGAGATTCATCGATCATAATAGAAGAACACTTGCGTTTCAAAGTAGAGTTCTAGTGATTCTTAATCGCGTTGTCGGTTCGACCCGACAAAAGGCGGGCTATGGTAGATACGGTGAGGATGTTAAACGATGCAGTAGCGCGTGAAAAGGAAGAATGAGGGATAGGATAAGAGTTGTTTGGAGGGAGATGAAGGGTGTTTGGTAGTTGTGAAGAACAGGGGAATGGCTTGTTTCCAAGCTTATAACGCTATGTAAGCGTTTCTGAGACGGTCATTTTCGAAGGTAAGAGTTTGGTCATTGATTGTGAGAGTTGAGAGGGAAAGTGTGTTAAAGGTTAAACTTAGAAAAATTGTAACCAGAACAAGTGTTTCTCTTCTTGTTTTTTGTTGTTGTCCCACAGAGAAAAATGAAGACTATTTAAATAGTCAGATGAAGAGGAAAAATGATTTCAGCTTGCAATCATATCCGTCCATTATTTTCATTAATCCTGCACAACTTCTATCAACCAATTAGAAAAAAGAATAGTTTAACAAAAAAATTAATGATTAAAAATCCCTCTAAAAGTAAAAATGACTTAAAAACCTGAAAGTGTACAAATTAATGTAATTTAAAATATATTTTTTTGAATTTTTCTGAATAAAAAATAAAGACCCAAAATGACCAAAAATGATAAAAAAAACGGACGAAAATTTATCCGAAAAAATAAAATGAACACATTAAAATAATCTATATGTCACAAAGATTAAAGAAAAAATATTCAAGAAGTCAAAAATCAAAAACAAAATAATAATAAAAATATCAGACTAAACAGACGTTTAAGGTTAAAAACGAGACTTCAAACTGTATCAAAAAATAAAGCGAGCATACCGTCATAATCTATGCGAGATGCAGATTCATAAAATGATCGGTAAAAGGTGAAAACTTGAAATACTTTCTCGCTAGTTTCCCGCATAGTGTCGAATCACTTTTAACAGTTTGTCTATAAAACCGAAATATTTTTATTATCGACGTATAAACAACTTGGAGCAATGCAAGAAAATAGTAAACAGGTAAAAATGAATGGTGTGAAACGCCGGGTATTTTACAACTGAAAGACGATGCAAACTTTGATTTAAACTGACTTTTCTGATCAACTTAAATACGACTAATGATGCAAAATGTGATGAATGAAGGTATTTACTAATGATTGTGACCAAATGACAAAATATGGTATGAATGTGCGACTGAAAAAATTAGGGGCGACATTTAGGGTGCAACAGTTGTGCCTTGATGAATCAGTCTTCGAGAATCCACAATCAACCGTACTTCTGGCTTGGGAGACTCAAAATTTTAATTGAGGCGGGACACCTGATGCTCTTGATTTAGACCTGTCTCTGCACATGAAGCAAAAGAAAACATGAACATACACCTTTGTATGGATTAGACATTAGTGATACGTAGGTTAAAAATGTTCAAAACACTTGACAACCTTCGCATAGTCAATGCTCGAAGGTGAGAGGTTAAAACCGACCGTATTTAGTGACCTTGACTTTTGTATAAAAAATGCAAAAATGCAAGTGGGATCTTAGGTCAAAAATTGGGGTACAACAGTTGCCCTTATTTAAGTTTCTTCTATCTAGAGATATGAAGATTGGGATCTCCATTTCGACGAGATTGAAGGGACTTAAATATAGAATACACAATTTTTGGCCTTAAGATACCGCGATTATGTTCATGATATGATATGAATGTGATGTTTTGAATTTTATGGGGAATGACGCCATATGAGACAGACTATGTTGGAGAAACCAAGCACATTATACAGTAATCCCACAGAGGAAGAGGTTGTAACTCCACTGGGGAAACAAAGTCATAGACTTCAAATGAGAGACTCTTGAATGATTTACATCAGTGTTGAGACTGGAAAAGAGATGATTTACATCAGTACGAAGACTGGAAGAAGAAATGATTTACATCAGCACTGTGACTGGAAAAGGAAATGATGAACATCAGTACTGAGACTGGAAAATGATTGACATCAGCACTGTGGTTGGAAAACAAAATGATTGACATCAGCACTGTGGATGGAGATAAACATCTCTGATTTCTGAATTTTACCAAGAACGGTAACACATTTCTTCTTTAACCAAGATATCGCTTGAAAAGGATAAAATAACAAACTTCCCCACGAGACTTTTCCGAAGGAGTACCATTTGCTGAGTAGACATTATTGTTGGGGATACACAAGCTGCTCAAATAAAGAGGCCGCCACTTGCTTCCTTTCAAAGGTGTCAATAACATACAAGCTGCTCATGAAGAGACCGCCACTTGCTGTCTTCAAAGAATATTAAAGCACACAAGCTGCTCATGAAGAGTCCGCCACTTGTTGCCAAAAACCCACAAGATGCTCATAAAGAAGCTGCCACTTGCTGTCTTCAAAGAATATCAAAGCACACAAGCTGCTCATGAAGAGTCTGCCACTTGTTGCTAATAACCCACAAGCTTCTCATAAAGAAGCTGCCACTTGTCGTTTTCAAGGGAACAATAACACATAAGTTGCTCAAATAGATAAGCTGCCACTTGCTGTCTTCCAAAAATACTAACGTACAAGCTGCTCATGAAGAAGCTGCCACTTGCCATTTTCCGTACAAGCTGCTCATGAAGAGACCGCCACTTGCCATTTTCAAAAAGTGTTGGTAACATACAAGTTGTCCATGAAGAGACTGCCGCTTGCTGTTTTTAAAAGTGTTGATAACATACAAGTTGTCCATGAAGAGACTGCCGCTTGCTGTTTTTAAAAGTGTTGATAACATACCAGTTGTCCATGAAGAGACTGCCGCTTGCTGTTTCTTTTCAAAATTACCAATAACACACAAGTTGCTCATGAAGAAACCACCGCTTGTTGTTTTCTTTTCAAAATTACCAATAACACACAAGTTGCTCATGAAGAGACCGCCGCTTGTTGTTTTCTTTTCAAAATTACCAATAACACACAAGTTGCTCATGAAGAGACCGCCGCTTGTTGTTTTCTTTTCAAAATTACCAATAACACACAAGTTGCTCATGAAGAGACCGCCGCTTGTTGTTTTCAAAGGTGACAATAACAAACAAGTTGCTCATAAAGAGACTGCCGCTTGTTGTTTGTCAAGAGTATCCATAACACACAAGTTGCTCATGAAGAGACCGCCTCTTGTTGTTTTCAAAGGTGACAATAACAAACAAGTTGCTCATGAAGAGACTGCCGCTTGTTGTTTGTCAAGAGTATCCATAACACACAAGTTGCTCATGAAGAGACCGCCGCTTGTTGTTTTCAAAGGTGACAATAACAAACAAGTTGCTCATGAAGAGACTGCCGCTTGTTGTTTGTCAAGAGTATCCATAACACACAAGTTGCTCATGAAGAGACCGCCGCTTGTTGTTTTCAAAGGTGACAATAACAAACAAGTTGCTCATAAAGATACTGCCGCTTGTTGTTTGTCAAGAGTATCCATAACACACAAGTTGCTCATGAAGAGACCGCCGCTTGCTGTTTCCCAAAAAGATACCCGTAAAATATCTTGAAGATATTGCTGGAGGTGAGAACCAATAATTTCATCGGGGATGGACAAATTGCTCATGAAGAGACCGCCATTTGTCATAAAGAAATCAGAAATAATCAAACTGCTCAAATAAAGAGTCAGTCGCTTGTTGTCATGTCGATATTCCAGAAGAAGGTTATGATAACACTGCTGGGGAATAAAGTTCATCTTCAATTGGGGACCATGAATAAATCCTTCTTGAGGAGACCAAGTATTTACGTTGCAAAATAAATGCACTCTCCATCTAGGTTTCACAGCCTAGAGAGATCCACAGGGTATCGTTCACAAGAGACAAAGCTCAATCCAGGAATAAACTGGAGAGAAAATAGTCAAATAAGACTCCACCCAATGAGGAAACAGCTCAAATGGGGATTTATCCTATCCAGAGATGGAAAAGGAAAGCTAAACCAAGATTTTTCACGAGAATTAACTCAGTGGGGAATTAGAAAAGAGGCGCACTTTCTGCTTAAGTTGACATTCTATTTGGAAAGATCAAATATGCTATTTGACTAGACATAACCAAGGTATACGAACTCAAAGATATCAACAAATACAAATGTGCGTGCATGATGCAAGTATGAACGAATGAATGAATGTCATGTATATGTTGACAAAATAGACAGGGGAGATAGACAGAAGATGATAAGACGTCCCAGTACAACCCGACGCTCGGCTAATCTCAACAGGATGGTAACATTACTGGAGATCGAAAACAAAAGCCATCATTGAAGCAAAGTCCTTTTACAAGGCTTAAATCTCTTTGGAGAGAAAGATATTTTCAGGTAGAAAACCCAAAGTCTAGTCTTCTATTGCAAACAATCCATTGAAAGGATAACAACACAAACAAAGTTTCAGCTGGAAAGAAGTCTTGCTTAGCTGGAGATACTGGGAACACCACCCTCTGATAATGTGTGCAAAACATATCACATATTTTAACAAATCTGGATTGCCTCTGGGACTAATTTTGGATGCCCCAAGTTTACTGCTGATGAGCTGCGTGACGATTCTTGCGAATAACTTCACTTCTAAAATTCCCTAAGCTATATGGTTGATGAGGAGAAATCGTCTCAAGAGGATTTTACAAAAGACCTGGCATTCACTATGCTCTGGTGTCTTCAAACTCTTAGAGGAATTCATCAAATCTCGACGTGATTGCCCCGGATTGACTGTAGTTGGCACAACAAAGTCTTCAAATTTTGCCCCAAAAGAGTAAACAAGTCGGGAAAGCATTAATTAGGAGAAGCAACACGTCCGCGCTTAAGGTCTTCTGGTGACATGCCCCTGCATATGATTTTTTCTTGAAATGATTCGCCAATTACTCAATATAGTTTCAAGCCTTAAAAGAATAAACTCATCACTGGTGCTTATATGAGCTTCCTTGATATCAAACAAATGTTTTGCAGTTAGAAAAAGTTTACAATGAGAATGAAAATTCTAATGCAACAGTTATGTAAGTCTTGAAGATTTTGAAAGATATCGCACAAATTTTGCGAGTTAAAGCACCATTTATTTTTGTATAGGAAAAACATATGATACCAACATAACCATTTAGAACATTCATGGGAGTCAGGAACACTATCTCATTGAAGTATGCTTTCAAAATAATCTTGCTTCAATTAGGACTTTTGAAGGTTGTAGCGTGGTCTGGTTCACGGTTTTTAGAAAAAAGATTTTAAGGCTCAAAATATTTGGTGCCCACCCATTCTTCATGATGTTCTCCAACCCTATGTTCAGTTAATTCAACATGAGTGTTCATCTCTCAAAAGGATTTTGTGACGGTCAAGGAAACGACGAGGCTTTCGGAGTAGAAACCACCCTCATGTCTTCGTGTTTGTAGTCACCAATTTGTTCTTTGCTGAGGACTTTTCTTTGTAGTCCTTTTCTTTGCAATTTTTATTTTCCCTAACTTTTGCCTGAACTAATTCTTTTGAACTGATAGTCCAGCGGGATGCCTTAATTTTGCCTAAGTCACACGTTTTCATGTTTTTGACTTAGCAAGCTTTTTCTTTTTCTCGATTTTTGACTTTTTGAACAAAATGTGTGACATTAGCTTGTCTTTGCTTGTTGAGAGGATTGTGATTGCCTCGTTTCTTGATGAATGAGGGATAACATTGTGGTTCCATATCCTCTAGATTCATTATACATGAAGGATAGCCCTCGTAGTTTCTCTTCAAAAAACATCTTCCTTATGAATTTTGAACACTCAGTCAGATTAACTAAAAACTACCCTGCCCCAGGTTAAAGTTCAAGGTTTTTTCGTATAGAAAAGAAACTTCTACTTCAAGGCTCAAAAGGGGTTAGCAAGGGATTATCTTCCTTATATCTCCGGTGTTTAGGGATTTGAAACAATGCCTGTACATCATCAGCAAGATTTTATCCAAAAGCAAACAACCAGAGATTTTGTGTTCTTTAGATCGTCATCCTCCCCTCAATCTCTGCCTAGGCAAGAGAATGAGCAACAATTTGGTATCATAGTGCAAAAGCAATTTAAAATTTGAAAACAAATATGAGTGAAATGAATGAATTTCTTCAAGACAAACATACTCATTGTATTAAGATAATCATACAGATGCAAACAAGTTCTTACATGCAAACAAGGTTTTGATAAACAAGAAAAATTACAAAAAGCATAAATAACTTAATAATCTGGGAAGGCTTTCCATCTGGACTTGAATTACCGAAAACATCCTTCAAAAATCAAAGTGACCATCAATCGTGTTTACTCTTTGGCACATGCTTGATTTGAACTTCAAAACCAACGTCCTTGAATGACAAGATACCACTTCTGACCAACTTCTGAACCTCGATCTTCAAAGCAAAACAACCCTCCAAGTCATGCCCAGGAGCACCTTGATGAAAAGTACAAGCCAAATCAGCTTTGTAGTACCGATGTATCTTCTCAGGAACCTTCGGTGGAGGTCGGGTCTGAACCAAATTCCTCTGCATCAGGATAGGGAACAACTTTGTATAGGTAATTGGAATTGGATCAAACTGGGTTTTCCTCTGATTAGGAACTTGCTGATTCTGTTGATGAATAGGAGAAACATGATGATTCTGACGATGATTATTTCTTCCTCTGGTTCTCTTCTTGGAAAAGTTATTATCAAACTTCTTCACACCATTAGTTGAGCTACCATCTTCATATAAACATCCCTTCCCAACATCTTCTTCTAGACGCACTCCCACATTCACCATGTCAGGAGAGTCAATAGGCACATTCATTATCATCTTCTCATTAAAGAATGATTTCAGAGTTTCAGTGAAGACCTTTTCCATCACTTCTTCTTTCTTAGAATCATTGACTTGGGCGGCAACCAAAATTGTGACCAAACCAGTTAAGTGCTCCACACTAGCTTTCAAATTAGTCGTCTCTCTACGGAGTTCAGAAACCTCTTGCTTGATATTCTCCATTGTTCTCTTAGCGCGAGTGTTGTACTGGTGAGACCAAAGGGAAAATAAGACTCGGAAAAATACCTTTGAAAGTGAAACAAAAAATGTAGAATGATGTATGATATGCAAAAGAGAGTTTTGATTTTCAAGGAACTCAAGATATTAAGTTGTAAACATCAAAGTATGAAGATAGAAGATGAATTTTAAATTGGCTCCAAACATTGATCAAGTTATCATCAAGATCAATCATCCATTTTGGTGGATTAGGGTTTTCGCCCTATCAACACCCAAGATCCATTGAGCTTGACGAAACTTGTGATGTTTACAAAGAAATACCTCCAAATTCCTTCAAAGTCAAGTGAAAAGGGTTTTATGGATGCATGAATGCATGGCTATGCAACAACCACAAGCAAGGTCACAAATAGAGTCGAAAGGTTCAACGTCACGAGCATGGAGTCAAGGTAAAGAACATCCCTAAGGTATGTACTAACGGTTTAATCACACATGTAGAACAAGGTTCTAAGAGTTCCCGGAGTCCACATTCCTCCTTCGGGTATTACCAACGTCTGGATTACTCAATAATCAGCAATATTCTCAAGAGAAACTCATCCGAGCGTAGCATCGCGTAACAATTACTTCCGGATTACTCCGTTATAATCTCCGCGCTACACCTAAAAGGCCAAGATGGGTTAGGGTTCTACGGTTCCAAGCTTCTCTGGCTCCCAGGTCGAAAATAATAATGTCTTCCCGATTACTCGGTAAACAAATATTACGTTCAAAAGGGCCTTCCACTGAGTGGGGGATCTCATGCCTCCTTCTTCGGGATTACTCCCTCAAAGTTAACATGAATATACAGCCCGTCCTATTCCTAAGTGTAACTTAGTCCGGGTATAGGACTTGTCCTTTGTAAATATTATCAACACCCAAATAATCATAATATATACATATAATCAAACAATCAAGTAATGATAAAACAGATAAAACAAATTAGGCTTAACCCACTTAGGGATGGACCAGTAAGAGGTCAATCTTTCCCCAGCAGAGTCGCCAATTCTGTAGCGGTGAAAATCGGAGATCAAGCTATTAATTAACTTGACTCACAAAAGCAAGAGTCGCCACCGCGCTTTATTGTTTTCAAGGGAAAAGGGAAAAGAGCGAAATAAAACCCTAAAATATGCAATGTATAATAATACTTAAAAGTAATGAAAATACAATGCGTCTTTTTGAAAGAGATCGAGAGTCCGGGGGTTAGTTATACAATGGGAAGGTATTAGCACCCAATGCATCTGCGGTACTCCGCAGGAACCTTTTGAAATATCTGTTTTTGGTTAAAATTGTTTGTTTGATTAAAATGGTTCGTTTGGCTAAAAATAGGTGTTGGCGAGATTTTGAAGATACGACGACCTAGTGTCGAAGTTTTGACTTAAAAGGTGTGAGTTTGAAATTTGAGTCTTTTTTAGAAAAATCGACTTAAGTTTGGATAAAATAGTAAGTAAGAAAAAATGAATGGGGGTATTCGCTTGATCCTATTAGATGTTTGATGACATGAAGTCAACAAATTAGTACTTTCCCTTGGAATTAAAACCACGGACAGATAAATAAGCTAAGAGTATATCAAACCTCAGGTGAAAATAAATCACGAGCCGACAGCGTCAAAAAAACCAGATGTAAGATAATACTCCCAGCAGCGAATAAAGCGCAATGAACCACAAGCGAGAAGTGCAACGCGTGAAAATAAATCACGGAAAAAAGAAATCATGGATGACGCTCACGGTATAAGATTCCCTACATCACATGAAAAACTCCAACAACCAGATAAACAGGGTAATAGAGAAATAATATGAACATCTCATGTGAAATAAAGAATCAAGCTATGGGACCGAAATGCGTCAAATCGAAATCCATAAAATAAACTGGTCAATGAAGTTTATACATCCGTTATATATTCGAAAATTAAATCGAGTTCAAAATGTGAAATCACAATGAAATGATATAAAATAGACAACATAACTTAAATTTATTTACAAGATAAAATTCTAACTAAATCTAAAACTCAAAAGTTTCTATTAAATAAAACAATAAGAAAATTAAATCACAAATTGAATTTATTTACAAACCAACAAATTAATTACACATTACATAATGTACTAAAGTAATCTAAAAAAACAAAAGATAAACATTATTACTTCTAAATTTAAAATCTAATGTCTTAACTTTTTATTTATTTTGGGATAAACTTTTGAATATAAAAAACAATAAAACTAAATTAAAAGAGTGAATATACAAAAATGATAACTAAATTAAAAAAGAATAAAAGAAACAGAGCCACTACATGATTGAGGAGTATGTGCAGAAACTTACGCGGAAACGGAGGGTGATAGCTGGAGGAAACGTACCAGTCAAATTGTTGACATAAAGAAGCAATTTTTCCAATTTCAAAAGCTTACCAATATCCTTAGGAATAGAACTTGTCAACTGATTGGAGTAAAGCTCCAAAACTGTGAGATTTGCAAGATTAACAATTCCATCACCAATTGTTCCATCAATTTTATTCAATGGCAATGATATTTCAATGAGTGAAACAAACATCATAAACATCAATTGGGATATTCCCTGATAGTAGATTGAAACCTACTCTAAATCTCATAAGCTTAGAACATGCACCTAAACCAGTCTGAATAGCATCGTCAAAATCATTGGAAGAAAAATCCAAGAATCTCAAAGAAGAACTCTTATCTCCTTCAGCAAGATTCCGAATCAGAGAAACAGGCAATGTTCCATTGAATGAATTACTAGACAAATCAAACACCTGAACAACAACACTGCCATTTCTGATTCCATTCCAAAGTGGCAGTTCACCGGAGAAACGATTGTAACTCAAATCAAGAACTAAAAGATGGTTATGAATTGAAAAAAAATGGACTTTGAAGATTACCATGAAGTTTATTATGAGAGAGATTAAGATGAGAAAGAGATTGAAGAGAAGATGTGAACAGAGGCGGTTAGTAGTAACAGGCTCAGTAACATGATTTAAATCTTCAGAAGAAGAATCAATACCAGGAAGTGATACCGAAAGTGAAGTTGGAGGATCATTGGATTTGGAAGACGACGTCGTTTTCGATTCTACGAGAGGTAGAGCCGCAACGGTTCTTATAGGGACAGGACGATAAATATGAGAAGAGTTCACTATAGGTACACTGGACTCGCTCACATCGGATCCAGAAGGACTTCCCTGAGTGGGAGGGTTCTTGTAAATCCCATTACCAACAGGTATAGCAGCACCGGCACTTACAGATCTTTTCAACGGTGGAGATTCATCGATCATAATAGAAGAACACTTGCGTTTCAAAGTAGAGTTCCAGTGATTCTTAATCGCGTTGTCGGTTCGACCCGACAAAAGGCGGGCTATGGTAGATACGGTGAGGATGTTAAACGATGCAGTAGCGCGTGAAAAGGAAGAATGAGGGATAGGATAAGAGTTGTTTGGAGGGAGATGAAGGGTGTTTGGTAGTTGTGAAGAACAGGGGAATGGCTTGTTTCCAAGCTTATAACGCTATGTAAGCGTTTCTGAGACGGTCATTTTCGAAGGTAAGAGTTTGGTCATTGATTGTGAGAGTTGAGAGGGAAAGTGTGTTAAAGGTTAAACTTAGAAAAATTGTAACCAGAACAAGTGTTTCTCTTCTTGTTTTTTGTTGTTGTCCCACAGAGAAAAATGAAGACTATTTAAATAGTCAGATGAAGAGGAAAAATGATTTCAGCTTGCAATCATATCCGTCCATTATTTTCATTAATCCTGCACAACTTCTATCAACCAATTAGAAAAAAGAATAGTTTAACAAAAAAATTAATGATTAAAAATCCCTCTAAAAGTAAAAATGACTTAAAAACCTGAAAGTGTACAAATTAATGTAATTTAAAATATATTTTTTTGAATTTTTCTGAATAAAAAATAAAGACCCAAAATGACCAAAAATGATAAAAAAAACGGACGAAAATTTATCCGAAAAAATAAAATGAACACATTAAAATAATCTACATGTCACAAAGATTAAAGAAAAAATATTCAAGAAGTCAAAAATCAAAAACAAAATAATAATAAAAATATCAGACTAAACAGACGTTTAAGGTTAAAAACGAGACTTCAAACTGTATCAAAAAATAAAGCGAGCATACCGTCATAATCTATGCGAGATGCAGATTCATAAAATGATCGGTAAAAGGTGAAAACTTGAAATACTTTCTCGCTAGTTTCCCGCATAGTGTCGAATCACTTTTAACAGTTTGTCTATAAAACCGAAATATTTTTATTATCGACGTATAAACAACTTGGAGCAATGCAAGAAAATAGTAAACAGGTAAAAATGAATGGTGTGAAACGCCGGGTATTTTACAACTGAAAGACGATGCAAACTTTGATTTAAACTGACTTTTCTGATCAACTTAAATACGACTAATGATGCAAAATGTGATGAATGAAGGTATTTACTAATGATTGTGACCAAATGACAAAATATGGTATGAATTGCGACTGAAAAAATTAGGGGCGACATTTAGGGTGCAACAGTTGTGCCTTGATGAATCAGTCTTCGAGAATCCACAATCAACCGTACTTCTGGCTTGGGAGACTCAAAATTTTAATTGAGGCGCGACACCTGATGCTCTTGATTTAGACCTGTCTCTGCACATGAAGCAAAAGAAAACATGAACATACACCTTTGTATGGATTAGACATTAGTGATACGTAGGTTAAAAATGTTCAAAACACTTGACAACCTTCGCATAGTCAATGCTCGAAGGTGAGAGGTTAAAACCGACCGTATTTAGTGACCTTGACTTTTGTATAAAAAATGCAAAAATGCAAGTGGGATCTTAGGTCAAAAATTGGGGTACAACAACCGTCCATGGTGGTTAGAATCATAGCTCCTCCTGAGAAAATGTTCTTAACCACAAATGGCCCTTCATATGTAGCGGTCCATTTGCCCCTGGGATCACCTTGAGGTAGGATAATGCGCTTGATTACCAGATCCCCAACTTGATATTCTTGTTGTCTAACTTTCTTGTTGAATGTCTTGATCTTTCGCTTTTGATACGCCTGACCATGACAAATAGCAGTAAGTCTCTTTTCGTCGATTAGGTTCATTTGATCAAGTCGGGTCTGAATCCAGTCATCTTCACTCAAATCTGCATCCTTCATGATCCAAAGCGATGATATCTGAACTTCAATGGGAAAGAATGCCTCCATGCCATATACCAAGGAATAGGGTGTTACCCCTGTTGACGTCCGTGCTGAGGTACGGTACCCATGAAGAGCAAACGGTAACATTTCATGCCAGTCTTTGTAGGTCACTGTCATCTTCTACACAGTCTTCTTAATGTTCTTATTAGCCACTTCTACAACCCCATTCATCTTCAGCCGGTAGGGAGAAGAGTTATGATGTTGTATCTTGAATTGCTCGCAGAGCTCGATGATCATCTTGTTGTTAAGATTAGTACCATTGTCCGTAATGATCCTCTCTGGCACACCATATCGACAAATCAGATTATGCCGAATGAACCGTGCTACGACGTTCTTGGTTACAGTAGCAAAGGAAGCTGCTTCAACCCACTTTGTGAAATAATCAATTGCTACCAGGATGAAACGATGCCCATTGGATGTCGTAGGTCTGATCTCGCCGATCATATTAATGCCCCACATTACAAAAGGCCAAGGAATTATCAAGATGTTCAGAGGAACCGGAGGTATGTGCACCTTATCAGCATAGACTTGGCACTTGTGACATGTCCGAGAATGCTGATAACAGTCAGCTTCCATTGTGGACCAATAATATCCTTCCCGAAGGATTTTCTTTGCCATGGTGTGTCCACTGGAATGAGTCCCGAAAGTACCTTCATGTAAATCTGCCATGATCTTTTCTGCTTCATTCTTATCCACACAACGCAGTAAATTCGAATCATGGTTACGCTTGTAGAGGATGCCATTGCTGATGAAGAACTTTGTTGTGAACCTCCTCAAAAACTTCTTGTCATTAATAGATGCTCCCTAGGGGTATTCCTAGGCTTCAAGATACCTCTTCACCTCATGAAGCCAGGGCTTATCTGCTACCTCTTCAGTCTCAATGTCACAGCAATGTGCAGGTTCGTCCAGTTTTTCAATGATGATCCGGGGAGCTTTGTTGTCCCAATTGACCTTGAACATAGAAGACATCGTAGCCAGCGCGTCCGCCAACTGATTCTCATCTCTAGGGAAGTGTTCAAAGGTTATCTCCTCAAAATATGGAAGCAACGTCAATACATACTCCTTGTAAGGAATAAGATTTGGGTGTTTCATATCCCACTCGCCTTTGATCTGACTGATCACGAGAGCGGAATCTCCGAAGACACTCAAGAACTTAATCCTTAGGTCAATTGCTGCTCGAAGACCCATGATGCACGCTTCATACTCCGCCATGTTGTTGGTGCAATTGAAACATAGTCGGGCGGTGAATGGAGTATGAGAGCCTTTAGGAGATATGATCACAGCGCCAATGCCATTGCCCAAAGCGTTCAAAGCTCCATCAAAGTACATAGACCATCGGGATCCTTCCTCAGGTCCTTCAACCGGTCCAGGTGTCTCATAATCAGTTACCAACATGATATTCTCGTCCAGAAATTCAAAGTTCATAGACTGGTAATCATCCACTGCCTGATGTGCCAAATGGTCTGCCAACACACTTCCCTTGATTGCCTTTTGGGTCGTATTTTGGATGTCATACTCAGTCAAGATCATCTGCCATATTGCTATTCTTCCAGAAAAAGCAGGCTTCTCGAAGATATACTTGATTGGATCCATCTTTGATATCAATAGAGTAGTGTGAGTCAGCATATACTGTCTCAGCCGGAGAGCAACCCATTCCAAAGTGCAGCAAGTTTTCTCGAGCAACGAGTATCAGGTCTCGCAGTCGGTAAACTTTTTGCTAAGGTAATAAATAGCATGCTCTTTTTGGCCAGACTCGTCATGCTGACCCAGCACACACCCCATTGAGTTATTGAGTACTGTCAAGTATAAGATCAAAGGTCTCCCTTCTACTGGTGGAATCAGAATAGGTGGCTCTTGGAGATACTCTTTGATCCTTTCGAAAGCGGCCTGACATTCATCATTCCAACGTACTACTTGATCTTTCTTCAGCAGCTTGAAGATTGGCTCACAAGTAGCCGTTAGGTGCGAGATGAATCGGGCAATGTAGTTCAGTCGTCCCAGGAAGCCTCTGACTTCTTTCTCTGTTCTGGGAGCTGGCATCTCTTGTATGGCCTTTACCTTGGAAGGATCCACTTGAATACCTTTGTCGCTTACGACGAAACCCAATAGCTTACCAGATCTCACCCTGAAGGTGCACTTGTTCGGGTTTAACCTCAGCTTATACAATTTCAGCCTATCAAACAGCTTCTGCAGATGGTCAAGGTGTTCCTCCTCAGTTTGGGACCTTGCAATCATGTCATCAACGTACACTTCAATCTCATGATGGATCATGTCAAGAAACAAAGCAACCATGGCACGCTGATACGTTTCCCCAACATTCTTCAACCCAAAAGGCATGACCTTGTAGAAAAAGGTACCCCATTGAGTAACAAAGGTTGTCTTCTCCATGTCTTCGGGAGCCATTTTAATTTGATTATAACCGGAGAAACCATCCATGAAGGAGAATACCTTGTGCTGAGCGGTGTTGTCAACCAGAACGTCAATATGAGGTAGAGGGAAGTCATCCTTGGGGCTTGCCCTGTTCAGATCCCTATAGTCAACACACATTCGAACCTTACCATCCTTCTTCGGCATAGGAACCACATTGGCAACCCACTGAGGGTAAGAAGTAACTGCTAGGAAACCGGCGTCAAACTGTTTCATTACTTCAACCTTGATTTTCTCAGACATCTTTGGACGCATTCGGCGTACCTTATGTTTCACTAGAGGACAGTCTTCCTTGGTAGGCAATCGGTGAACCACAATATCGGTATCCAACTCAGGCATATCTTCATAAGACCAGGAAAAGATCTCAACATAGTCATGCAGCATCTGAATCAACCGTTGCCTCACACTAAGCTCCAGATTTGCATCGATCTTAACTTCTTTCTTGTCTGTATCTGTACCCAGATTCACTGATTCCACCGGCTCTTCGTGTGGCTGAATAGCCCTCTCTTCTTGGAGTAACAGTCTTGCAAGTTCTCCAGGCACTTCTCCATCATCTTCACCTTCGTCTTCGGCTAAGTTGATCAGATTTTCGAAGTCATAACTGGAAGTAGCAGAGTCGTTATCAGTGAGATCCATAGTGGATGTAGACCTGTATATGTGAG